AAAATAGTAGGAGTATAAAGCTCAGACACTTGTTTCAAGATATCAGAATATGGGTTCTTGAGTCTTGGAATTTTTTGACGTGCTTCATATTCACACTTCAATTCATTATACCGTTTTTCTTCTACAACATCCTCAAAACGATTAAAAAACTTGATAAGATCCAAATTCACATTGATAAAACTTTTAATATCAGCATTCACACTTTCACTAAGTTGGGTGCTTCGCATTCCCAATGTGAAAGCCTTCTTCAGGTAACAAGATGCCCATTTTTCCCTCACAGAATACACTCTTTGCAACCAAGTGTTTTCCTTAACATCAAACTTTTCAAGGAGGTTTCTCCAACCTTCCTCAAATTGTTCTTCATCATCATAGCCATACATGCATTTCTTAAAGTCACTAAGAAAATGTGATTCCCCCTTCATTAAATTGCTTAAGTGCTTGATGCCATTCTGCATCAAGTGCCATGTACATAAGCCATGGTAAGTTTCAGGAATAACCTCAACTAGTGCTTTTGCCATTGCCTGGTCTTGATCAGTAAAAATTGTTTGGGGTCTTTTTTGTTTGTGTGCCTCCAGAAATGTTTCAAAAAGCCACTTATATGACTCTGTTGTTTCATCATATAATAGTGCAGCCCCAAAAATCATTTACATAAGAGACCTTTCCTACTAGTGTATTTTATATCGTACCCCAAAAACACATTTTATGCAAATGATCCATGTCAAAAAGATTCAATGCAATAACATACACATGATATCACTTCACATTTTTACACATTAACACACATAATGTAATGGTCACGAACTATAATGTGCATATGCACGTGACACTAGTAAAATCACATCGTGGTATATTTCCCTAAGACACAAAGAGTGGCTTAGGAGAACATGTTGGGTCAAACCATCACAACACTCTACTTTAGGAAGAGATACACTAGGATGTGTTGGGATAGTAATGTTGTGCAAGTTACACCTTATGCACATTAACGAGCAAAACTAGGGCTCCCAAACCTAAATCCTCAAGCTTTTAGACAAGGGGGACCATCCCTTGTAGCATATTCCATATCGTGCCTATAAAAAACACTTATGCATATGATGTATGTCACACAAGATCCTGATGTAATATCATGTCATCTCAATATCACAAGTACACAATATACATGCATTACTCATATCACTACTTGGTCATCATGTCCAAACTTTATCCCTACTAAGCCTTATCTTAGACTTTGTGTTGCATGACCTTCACAAGACCCACACACATTAACATACCATGTATTAATATCATCTCACAATTTAATTCATATATATAACTCAAAGTTACATAAATAACATACTCAATATATATATTTTTCCTTGAATACAGTAATTAAAACATGCATCAATTACCATTCACAACTATTTAATATAGCACAATGAATAAGCAAGGTTGTAGGGTGGCGTTCGGCGACAGTACCCTGTACCTAGCGCGATTTACATAGAGAGTTGTTCCAGTAAAGGGATGGGTTCTCTTAGGGTTCACATCACTAAGGATTATTCGGTTACTATCCCCTTACTAGAACAAGAGCATACGTCGCTCTCTAGACAGACTACGTTCAACATGACTAAGCTTGCACTCGATGAGATCATCACAAGGAACCCCTTGGAGCTACCATGCTCGACGTGGATCAACCCATGTCCGACACGTGACAAAGAGAAAATTGTGCTCTTATTGGCCACTCTCATGCTTGATGACCCATAGCAGCGCTCGACGTTGTATTAGAAAAACCTAAACTGAGAAGTTAAAATCATATAAGACATGTACATCACCCAATTCATGATTTTAATCAGTAAAATCATTCTAAAGGTCAAATAACACATTAAAAGTCATCAATTACACATTCTCACATATTTATCTCAATTATCTCATATTAACTCAATACATTCATTCCTAGTGTTCCTATAAGAAGCCATGGACAATCCAAAACCCACAAGATTAGTAATTACATAAAGCTAAACATACATACAAATTAACAACATTAATTAGAATACTAGAGAATTGCATAGAATATAGAAACACAAGTTAAGATTAAAAAAAATTGGGATTGCTCTCTCACACAACACGTACGACAAAGAAAAAAGATTAGGGGTCGATCTTATTACCCAACATATATCTCACACCTAGAGTGAGACTACTAACTTTCCCCTTACCTCAATGAACACTAAATATAGTGGATGATTTGCATAGTGATCTTCATTAGTCGCTGGTTCTCCTAGTTCTTTAGAGCATTGAATTGTAAAAAGAGAAAAATGAGAAGCATAAACATAAAATTGATGTAACCTCGCAAAATTCTCTAACCCACATTTAACCCATTAGTTAGTCAAAAAAAATTGCCATAATAACACTTTCCTTCTCTCAAATTATTTAAATAAAACATAATTAATTAAAACCATATTTTTCATGTAAATAAAATGCACTTCTTTAAAGCAACCCAATTAATTAGTTTAAAAATTATTATTAATTTATTAGCAAAATCTTGGGGAGTTACAATATCAATTCATGCAATTCAACTAATAATTAAGTGGTTCAACCAATAATTCATTAACCTAATATTTCAATCGAGTTGATCGCCAATTTAATCCTGATAACATGCCTAAAAATATCCTTATTAACTAATTATGAATTTTCTAATTTATATAAAAAAAAACAAAAATATTTTTAAAAATTATTTCTGAATAAAAATATTTAGTTATTTTAACTCTAGTTAAATCATAGGTTTTGTCCTAATGCTACATATTGAACACTTAAATTTGTTTAAATATTATTCTTTTTAAACATATTTTTATTTAATTTAATTTCATAATTAAATTAATAAATTTCATTTTCAATCATCTAAAATTATTATTTTTTATTCTTAATCTTATTTGATTCTATTTTTGGTTTATTTTTAATATATCATTTTAAAATTTATTTTTAAATTAAATTATTATATTTGTTTAAAAGAAATTGTCAATAATAAAAAAATAACCTTATGTTATCATATAAATTATTGTAAATTCAAAATATAATTTATATGTTCAAAAAATTTATTAGTTATGAAATTTAATAATAATATAGTATATATTATAAATTATTTTTATAAATTTGAAGTATATAAAAGTCAATATTTATCTTGATTCTAATATACACTAATGAGCTAATTACTTTTTAAAATAAAAGCTAGGCATGCACAACATCACTATAGGATAGAGACATCTCAACAACATTGACATCTTACCATTCATTATATAGCACACTATAATATATAAAATAAAAAGAGAAAAGTAAAACAAAAAGTATATGAGGACTATGCCAAAACCCATGAAAAATTAACAAAACCTAGGAAGACCACAACAATTACGAAAAAAAACTCCAATATAATAAACGACGGCATAAAATATATCCCACTAAACAAATCCATTCATATGTGCTAAACAGTGTGCTACTAGTCTATTCACACATTGACTACCATCTCTAAAAATATGAGAAGCCTGAAACCATTTAAGAAAGGCATGTAAACCACCTTGGAATCACATTCCAACCATAACCTATGCCACCCTGCTAAAAACACATGCTCAACCACCAATATAACAGTAATTAGCTTCGCCTTCAAAGCATCAACAATTCCAATGCATAAAGTGAAGCCTCCTAAAAAAGCCCTGCTACTATCTTTGAATAAACTACCACTAGTAGCATTCCCCAAAGAACCTCTCACACCACCATCTGTGTTACATTTGATGAATCCACAAGTAAGAAGATGCCCATATGCTTATTTCACACAAAAAAGCCTAAGAAGATGAATATAAACTAAAAAGTAATTTAGAATACAAAAATCCTCCATAGAATGAGAAACATGTCCTTAAAAAGCATACCAAATAATGAGATTGTCAATATCACCATAAAAACTACATAAGAGTTAGGGATTCTTAACATTTTTAAAACATAAGTTTTTTCTAGACAACTAGATCACCCATATAACATGTGTCAAGGCAGGAACCAAAACATCTTTCTCCTAAGAGCTCCATCTCATGTCAAGCAAAGTACTAAGGACTCAGTAGATGTGAGGTCCAACGATATACTCAACACATGTTATAACCAAGTCCACAAGGAGCGAGCAAAGTTGCACCTGAGAAATAAATGCTTTGAGGACTCATCAAATAAGCTATAAAGACTATAAAACAAGACCATGGTCAAACATCTAGCTTGTAATTGATCATTTATAGGAGTTTATTCTGGAAAAACCTTCAAAATAGACATGACCGTGAAAATGGGATAAAGCTTGACCACATGTGTTTAGCCCATGCAATTGGAAGGGTAGGAAGTTGAACATATATATACTATTCTTTGAGTGAAAAGATGCCAAAATTGGTAGGGAACCACACAAATTGGTCAAGACCTTGGCCATAAGGAACGAGTACATTCGTCAACAAGAGAGGGAGTTTCTAAAGAATTATTTGAGGGATAGCCCGAGTTAAGTTGTGAATGAAGCAATTCACAAATGTATGCAGGCTTGGCTAAAGGCTTGCAGGAATTGCAGGAATTTGTAAAGCATCAATAATTGAAGTATTTATGCATCAAACATCAATCCAGAAATTGACCATAGAACCACTTTCCAAAACCCAACCCGTGTTAACAAGTACATTATTCCAATGACAGAAAATGGCTGGCCAAATAGAAGAAGCCTTATAGTTGACCATTAGGAGACCATGATGTAAAAATTGCCCTCATCAAAGAAGTTCAATGAGCATGGGAATGGACAAAGTTCCAAGTTAAATGCAATGAAGCAACTTCATTCAAAACCAAAGTTCGCAAACCAAGACCACCTTTTTGTTAAGGATAACAAATATTCTTCCAAGCCATAGTGTCTAACTTCCTCTTATCAATATCATTTGACCAAATGAAATTCTGAACCATCTATTTAAACTATTTAAAAGAGCTTTAAGCCATACGTAAACCTGAAAGCTATATAATAACATGTCAGACACAACATGATTAACCAATTACATTCTACCCATAATAGATAAAAGTAACCCTTTCCAAGATGACAACTTAGATTTAATCTTATCCACCACACCCTATAAAAATTGAGATCTAGGTTTACCTTTAAAAAGAGGGACGCCTAAGTAGACAAATGGTAAATGATTAGTTGCAACACTAGTAGATTAAGGACTTGTGCGACCCAAGTGGGGAACAAGGCTCCATGAAAAAATCTACATTTCTCCAAGCTAATATGTTGCCCATAAGCTTCATCAATTCAAGATCCAACTTCTACCAAAAACCATTAGGAAATCTATAAAAAGAGATTAAGGGTTTTAATAATAGCACCAAATTAGGCTTATGAAAAACATAATAATTCATAAAAACCCTCCTACTTTCATCGTTAGCCAAGCCCTTGGCATTCTAAAAAAAAAACCCATTACGCAAAGTTTTGAGGACTACCATTGGATAAAAGGGGTTAAGACATAACTAATTTCTTCTTTATACGCAACTTGTGTTTTTGAAATTTAAAAAACACCCTTTCAAAATAAGATTCATCACCCTCCTCCAAAGCCTCCATTCTAAATATTAAAATATGAATTATATTTATATAAATTAAATTTTAATTATTTGATAATAAATTATGAATTATAAAAATATTCATATCTTGCAATATAATTTATTTATTATAAATATTAAAATATGATTTGTATGTTTAAAAATATTTATTTATTTATTAAAAAATACTTATTTATACAAAGTTTAAATATAATTTATATATTCAAATATAATATTTATTATATATTTTCGAGTTTGGAGATCGTTATAAGGTTAAGATTTACTGACTAAGTTGAAACATACTTTTAACGAATATTCAAGGTACACGACCAAAATTCCTCTACTAGATCCTCTTGACAAAAGGCCAGGAGAGTACACTATATAATTTATCATAAATTGTAGTTATATAAAATACATTATATAATTTATAATTTATAATCTATACCATTATATAAATTTATATCATTATATGAAAGGACACTCCTTATGATAATTACTTTTCGTTTCATTTTTACATAGAACATTTTCTCTTTTATTTTTTTTTCTCTATAACTTCTTAAAATTACCTTTTCCTATAAGTAACTTCTCATTTATTTTATTTATTTTGAAAATACAATAATTACTCATCTATATTCATATATAAAGTCGATTCCTTATTTTGGTATATATATTATTTATGGAAAATTTAACTCTTTTATAGATATTACATAAATTGTATGATAGAAAACAGAAAAATCTTTTTACAAAAGTTTTATTTTTGAAAGTGTTAATAACCACATACTATTCCACTAATATATGTGTATTCAAAAGAAGTTATTATGATTAAAAAATAGTTATGACAAAGGCACTAAGTGCCTTGTTTTCAACTAATAAAAACAATTATTTTTCTTTTTTTAAAATATAATATAGGCACAAAATATCTTTTTCTTCTAATAATATATAAAGGAATATCTATATCCTTTTATTATAATTTCTTTCACACCAATTTATCTTTTGAGGATAAAATAGAAAAAAAAATTATATTAAAAAATAACTACCTACTTAATTAATAATAATTACTCACTTATTTTATAATAACTTTTGGTCTTTATTTTTGTTTAAGACTACTTTAATCTCAACTAACTATTCTATGCATATCTCACTTGAAAGTATAACTTCTATTATTTCTATATTTTAGCTTATTTTTAAATAAAATTAACAAAGATACAATTATTTTACTAATAATTAATAAATATTTAACCTATAGAAAAAAGTTAAAATACTTAATGGGGAAAATAAATAGTTGTGACACCTACTTAATGCCTAACATGAACCGAATTATATTTTCCTTTTGGTATATTGTTATTATTGAAGGAAGGAGGAGAAAATGAGTAAGAATGACGAGAGAGTGCGAAAGGGGGTTTATTGCCAAATGAAGAAGGCTCACGAGACACGCATGGGGTCACCCACATGCTATCCCTCCTTCTTCTCTCTCCGCTGGTGACTCATGTCCTTCGCCGGAAACTCTATCTGTCACTTCTACGCCGCCGGCGAACACCCTTCTCGAAATCTCACCCAACGTTTGCAACCCAATTTCCCTTTCTCCTTTCTCTTCTCAATTCCCCATCTGGGTATCCCTGTTTCCCTCAAAGTTCTCTTCTTTTTCGTGATTCAGTGATACCCTTTGCTTAGAACAATGAGAACAGGGAAAGGGAACCAGGAAGAGGATGAGTACGAGGAAGAAGACTTCGGTTCTTCCAAAAAACAAGGCACTTCCTCTGCCTCTAACACCAACAAAGGTACTCCCTTACTTTTTTTATTTTTTTTTCATGGGAAACATGTTTGTGTAATTGTGTCTCATTCCTACGTTATTGTTAGATCCAATTACGGGGTGTTTTTTTGTATTGTTCGTGGTTGTGTGAGTCCTTCCTGGTTTTCTTTTCCTTTTAATGTTATGGATTGTGTTAAATCTGCTGATGTTTGCGTCCTTTAGAAAAACGATATTTTGGGTGCTATCTTGAATTTGGTGAATTTAGTTGATAGGGGGAACTTTTGTTTTGCGTATGAAATACGGGGTTGGATTCATTTGCGATCTAAAGTTCATGTTTTGATGAATTTGGAGTTATTATATTTGGTGCTGGTTGTTATAGCAGATGGAAAAGCTATTGACAAAGCTAGTGCGATAAGATCGAAACATTCTGTGACTGAGCAGCGGAGAAGGAGCAAGATAAATGAAAGGTATGTCATATGTGCAACTCTCATTGATAAGACTAGTGCTGTAGTGCATTGAGTGTTTTAGTGTAAGTTGCTTGAAATTAAACTGAATAATCAAGTTGTAGCTTATTATTGGTACTGGATGGTTTGAAATTGAAATAAATTGTTGATTCTCTTAAGGGAAATATTTTTTAATTTTTTATGTGATGGATGGTGAGCGTAAAGGTGGATATATTTGTCAGCAGTTTTACGTTGCTGTGGATCTTGTCACTTCATTGCTTCAGTTTACTTTATCTTTTTTTACTCGTCAAGCTGCAGAATAGGTTGTAAGCATTTAAGGAGTGTGCTTAGGTGTTTCTTAACATTTGGAAGTATTATATGTTGTAGAGGCTACTTAAATGTGTTGTAAAGAGTGATAAAATCTTGAAAGTCAATTGCTTGGAAGGCTCTTCTATTATTTTTAATCATCAAAACCTTTTGATATTGAAGTCTGAAGTATTATATGTTGTACTACATGATATGTTTATAATGGATTTATGAGGTATATATATATATTTTAATTAATATAGAGAACTTGAAGTTTTAGTGCATTCAGCCTGAGTTTTTATAATGTGTCATTAAGCTGGATATTGATGATTGGTAACCCTTTCCTCCAGATTCCAGATATTGAGGGATCTCATACCTCACAGTGATCAAAAGAGGGACACAGCATCATTTTTATTAGAGGTACATTTGTAATGTTAAAAATAATCACAATCTTGTTGAGAATATATCTAATAACTTATCAATCTATCATGTTTCTTTGCAGGTGATCGAGTATGTTCAGTACTTACAGGAGAAGGTCCAAAAGTATGAAGGTTCTTATCAAGGTTGGGGTCAAGAGCCCTCAAAGTTGATGCCATGGGTAAGAAAACCATAATGTTTTAGGATCTTGTGCTTTAACTATATGCAAATCCCTCGTTGTTTATTGTTAGTTAGACAAAAACAAAATGCAAATTTGATGTGAGCAGTGAGCACCTAGATTAAATGAAAAACAACAGAATAGGGAGTATATTTAGTAAAATAGAAAAGGAAAAATAAAAAGCATTGTCTTTATTTTTAATTACTTGTTAATTATATCTGTCTAAACTGCAGTTTGGATTCCTCTTTTTCATATACTATTAGCCAAATTGATCACAACTTTTTGATTTATTACTTTTGTTGTAGTATTTTATCATTAAAGATTTCACTTTTGTCATCGAGTTTGTTTAAATATGTTGCTTTTGGTTAAACTCATCAACTTAAGTACTTAACTGATAATATAGAGTATTATGTATGATGATGGATCCTGTTCACTGGTTAAAATTTTGTTCTCTTAGCTTTTACTCACTGTAATAATACAGAGAAACAGTCATTGGCGTGTTCAAAGCTTTGCCGGTCAACCTACAGGTATAAAGAATGGTTTGGGTCCGGTATCACCTTTTCCTGGAAAGTTTGATGAAAGCAGTGTTAATCTCTCTCCAACTATGCTTAGTGGCACCCAAACTACTATAGATGCTGATCAGAGCAGGGATATTGTCAGCAAGACAGCAGAGAGGCAACCTGATTTAGCGAGCAAGGGAATACCTCTGCCCGTTGCTATGCCTATGCATGCAAACATGTCTGTTCCTGTCAGAAGTGATGGTGTACTTGCACATCCTCTTCAGGGAACTGTTTCTGATGCACAATCAACTGAATGCCCAACAACTAGTGAACCACAGAACCAGCAGGATGAACTCACGGTTGAAGGAGGGACAATTAGCATCTCTAGTGCATACTCCCAAGGGTGGGTAATTGCTTAAAATTTACTATTGTTATTGTTGTTTTTATGATTATTATTATTTTTATAAGATTGTATGGTTTTGTTTTGTTGATATAGATGTTCCATGCACTCTTTATTTTATATTTGTTATTATGGTTTTAAAATGTCTAATCATGCCCATTGTTTTCTTTTGAATTTGTCTGTTTTTAATTTGCTAATCATTGTTTGAGTTATAATTTAATGCATGTACATATTACATTTTCACAAAGATCTCAATTATGTTATGATGTTTGACAATTGCAAGGCTACGCGTATGTTGATTTTATATGCCCTGTTTGTAACATTTCATTCTCTTGTATATGATCAAGGAGAAGAGAAAACGATTTGGAGTTTTTCTCATGATGGTTTTGGGGAGTAAGAGATTACCAAATAGACGGGTCTTTGCTTTTATTAAAAAAATAGAAAAGGTAAAAAGGGAACATTCCAGAACCACTAGTAACTCCTGAGGAACTAGCTAAATTGCATCTGTTCCCCTTTTTTGTTACCTAATGGGTATTGAATTTAGTTGCTTGGTCACTGCTTTGTGTAGGTTTCACATCACTAATTTATAGCGTGCAACTATGCATCAATAAAATGTTGGACAGCTAGGGATCACATATACTCTTTTTCCCCCTTGTCTTAAAATCATGAAATGTTGAGATTCTGAAACCATCAATTATTCTGGTTATAAAAACAAAAATAAATTGGCAATTGCATAAATTGATGGCCATTGTCGTGATGTTGTTTCTAGTGTTGTGAAGATTTCTAATGGTCTTGAGTACATGAGTATAAGCTTTAGTTATTGATTCTAAAGTTATATTACTCCTGTTGAGTTACAGTAGTACCATTATGGATATCTGTCATCTTTAATAACAAGTATGAAATCATTTGAACAGGTTGTTGAATAATTTAACTCAGGCGCTACAAAGTGCTGGTTTAGATTTGTCACAGGCTAGCATCTCAGTTCAGATTAATCTTGGGAAACGAGCAAACAAAGGATTGAACTGTGGGACCTCTTCTCCCAAGGTATATAATGACATGTTGTCTTCATTAATGCTTGTGACTTTTTATTGCAAGATGTCTTAAGAGTTTGATACACTCTGTTACGAATAAATGTTGTAGAAAGGAATTTCTAAATTTGTCCCAGACATTTTCACAAAAAATATGGAAAAAAAATTGTCATACAAAATATTTTAGATGAACTTATGGGACTGATTTGACAAGCGTTTTAATGAAGTCTGGTTTATATATTCTAGAATTTCAACCATTAGCATAACTGGTTATGATTTTAGTGTCATTAATTGATAATCAAAGTTAGTTCTAAGACTTATAAAATTATAGTTTGAAGATCCGGTATTGGAAAAATAATTATGTCAGATATGTGTCAAGGTTGGTTCTAGTGTTGAGTGTTCTACTATAGACAGAAATAATGTGAGTCTTGCGCCTCAAGGGTATTGGTCAAAATTGCTTCTGAATTTTAATCTTTTCCACGATAACGGTCATATAGCATAATCTTTAGAAGCCATTGTAATCCTATAAACTAAAGTTATAACTCATATAAAGTCAGCCATGGAGAGAAGCATTCTTTTATCCAGATTGTGGTCCCATTTTGCTGTGCTAAGAATGTAAAAGAGAAGCATAATTCTAAGAGTGATAACTATTTGATTTAAATAACTACTCAATATTAATATTTGAAATTAAAATAAGTGGGTTCTTTTATGATATGCTTCTCAATGATTTATTCGGTGAAAGTTCGATTAAGTGACATCCTCCAAAATCCAAAATTTCAAGTACCTGGTGTATTCTGATCCTCTTCTATTTGTGTTATGCAGAATCATGACAACCCTTCTTCAAACAATCAAACACTTGCACATTTTAGAGATACAGGTAGTGGAGAAGACTCGGATCAAGCACAAAAACGAATGAAAACATATAAATGATATATGTGGTCTTTTCATGAGCATCCACTTGCATCCAGATTTCTCACGTGTTAGTGGCTCAGAACATCCCTTGTGGTTACTGTACATCCTTCCCCATTTGTTTGACTTTTAATGGTTATTTTAAAACTACAAAAAACTTGAACATGATCATTTGTGGAGATATTGAGGCTTCTCTGTAGTGGGCATTCCATCTATTTCGCTTGTATGATACATATTATAATCATAATTATTCAGTATCATTGAGCTTTTGTTTGGCAATTTATGATACATATATTTGATTAATTTTAATGCATTTGGAGTGTTTTAAAATAAAATATGATTTATTTTCTAAATGCTTTTTGTAAGAAGTTACACTTCCTAGCTTATACAAAACTAGGATAGACATCTTAGCGTACCCTGCCTAACTCGCTAGCCTATTGAGTCGAATGGTAGGCTAGGATGGGTTAGCTAGTTGACTTGCCTAATTTTTTTTTATTATTTATTTTTAATATTTAGTTTAAATAAGTCATATCAACAACATTACTATTTTTCTTTCATTTTTTTTATATTAATTTTCATTCCCTTGAAAAAATTTCTTGAGGGCATGGGATCTTGTGCTGACATGGTTATCTTTCCCATGATCCCCTGAAGTGGGCCATGCTTTCTCAACCATATTTGAGCTAGTGAATGCGACATCATTGTAATCTTACATGTGATGAAAAAAAAAAGGATGAACTATGAAGTGAGGCTATTCCATGAAATAATCTTCTTACACCATCATGATCTTGTTCACATGATTAGGACGTTTCTTGGGGGAAGCTTTTGCAACTTGGATAGTGGTTGCAATCAAGATTATCAGTCTCGAGAGTTTACATAATCTCGTGGAGGTTTTGTAAATTTGTATCGTAAACTTGAATTGTAAATTCGTAAGAGTTTACTTAATATAAAAAATATGTTAAAATATTTATAAATAACATAATAATTAACATTTTAACTTTATATTAAAGTAAAATAGTAAATTGTAATAATAAAGTAACAAATTTTAGTGATATATACATAATTTTACACAAGACACAACTTACAAGTTCTTAAAAATAAAGTGATAGTAAATAAAAAACTAAAAAAAAGAGACTAATATCTTCAAATCAAATTTAAAAAATATTAACTATTACATGTATAATATATTTCTGGACTAGATTAAAAAAATGGGATACGAGAGAAAATAAACAGAATAAGGAAGGGAAAAGGAAAAAAAAGAACTTTCACTATAAATAATGAACAACCCTAGTGCAAAGAGAACGTAGAGGAGAGAACCTAAACGAACAACTTGGAGGAGAAAACCCGAATGCATAGCACGAAGGAGAAAATTAGCATGCATGGCATAAAGGAGAGAATCAAAACGCATGGTGATGCAGAGGAGAGAACCAAAACACATGATAGAGAGGGAGAACGAGAGTTGCACGACACAGAGAGTAGGAAAAATACATTGTTTTGGGAAAATTCTAAGTGAAACGTGCATTTTGGAAGGGTATTGTGAGTGAAGTTTGTAATCTCGCAATATCGAAGTAAACTCGTGAGATTACTTGAGATTGCTCAAGATTACTCAAAAACAAGATTACTAAAGAGTTATACAGGTATAACCAACCAATCTCGTAATCTCGTATGAGTTTGTGAGTTATCACTCGAAATTGATAATCATGGTCGCAATAGAGGAGCTTCATCGGTAGAAGTCACACCATCCTGAAGATGAAAGGGTCTTTATGGCTAAACGTTAGTGCTTGAACAAATAAATAGTCAATAATGTGGCCATCATGAGTAGTAACAGAAACAGTGGCAGGTAATTGATGACATGTTGTGACTATGATGGTGATGTTGAAGTAACTTTCTTGTTTTTTTTTTATAGAGAACTCCAAAATGATGTGGTTAAGCCTTTATGCGACGAGATCAAACTTTTTTTTTCTACATGTACAACAACGACAATGAACATCAAACCTAATTTTTCACAGATCGATTTTAGTAGTTTGATCAAGCTCCTTTTGTTGAAGGAAATAAGAATCATCAATGACAATTTACACAATAATAGTTTTTCTAATTCTCTATGTACACAAGGGAAGAAAAATAAATATTTGAATATAAGGAATTTGGTGATTTGTGTTTCTATTTATTTTTTGCATACATACCATATCTATTTATAGACAATCCTATCATTAGGTGAAGAGGTATAATTTTAAAGGGACATTTCATGACTTTTGGTGAAGTGTCATGTCTTGTCTTTTGCTAAGGAGTAAACCACTAAAATTAATTTAGTATTAAAGGATTGAGATAGTATCTACAATGTTTATAGAATTTATAGAATTGAACTTTTTTATCGCCTTTGCAATCTCTCAACAGTATAAAAAAAAAAAAAAAAAAAAAAAAAAAAAAAACCCCGGGGGAAAAACTCTCGGAGGAAAATTACATCTCATGAATAGACACAATTTTACAAAATTATATAACCATCCATTAATTTTAAAAATTTTCTCACAAAAATATGCAGAGTCTATCTGGTGCAAGGAGATAGATATCCTTTTATAAGTTTAGGTGTGGGTGAGTCATCTATGTTATAACAAAGTAATTTATAGGTATATAAATGAATGAGAGTAATATAGATACATATAAAGAATATATCAGGTGTGCTAAATTTTATGATTTCTCAAATGAATCAATAATTTTGTTATCTTACTGAATACTTGTCATTTTATTTTAGAAGAACTATACTCCTTATAAAAAGGAAATGAAGGTGTTATAGTTGGTGCGGCTCGCTTACCAACAGATTGAACTCTTGTTCATATACAGTTTTGTACTAGTATAGGCATAAAGTGCGAAATGCATGATCCCAGAAGTCATTTTGGCTTTTGAACGAGGGTTCCAACTAATCAACGTAATTAAAATATTATTTCTTAAAAAAAAAATACAACAAACAGTTATATCATAATGTTAAATAGTCTTCATACCAAAGTGATTATATTTAATTACACATCTATGATTACATATTTTGCAATCAATTTAACCTTACTCACATCTTAGCACGGTTATAGCAACTCACTCACCCCAGGTGGAGAAAAAAAAGAAAAAAAGAAAAAAGAAAACGATTCAATAATGAAAATCCAAATGCAAACATATTAACACAGTCTGTATTTTCGTTATGTTAATGAATCTTCTTCCACTCTGGTTCAATTCCATCACGAAATGGAGCATAATATGTTCAGCTTGTGATGTAACATTATGGTCCATCAAGTGGTGACAAGCACTCTTGTGGGTTTGTGTAGAAATAGTCCTCTTCTTTGGGGTTTCCAGGTACCACTGATCTTGTAGTTGGGTTCCCTACTCGATCTGCATGAGCCACCTTCACTGAAATGGTGAACTGGTTCCAACTTATGGTCCCATTTTTGTACTGATCTATGAGTTCAACCAGAAGTTCTCTGTTTAAAATAATTGTCTTCTTGAATCCCAAGTACCTAAAAGCATAATAAAATTAGGATATGGTAGGACAATTTTTTTCGTAAACACTTTTAGTTATAATATAATAGAGAAAAATAAAATATATTTTTTGATAAATTAAAAATTAGTTTTTAAAGAAGTTAGCGTATGTTTGGATTTGTATCTAAGTGACCAATATATTCGTATTTGACATGAAGTATTGAATCTATTCGATGAAATTTCTACGTCAAAATCAACTTAGATGTGATTTGAAATTTTTTTTTGACACAAATCCAAACATACACTTAATATAAAAGAATTTCTACAAATAATTTAATACATTGGTAAAATTTAACTTTTTAGATAAACTTATTTTATTCTTTTTGTTTATTTAATTTTTCTCTTTTAGAAATGCTTACAAAGAAATTTACTTAAATACACTCTTAATCTTTACGTGATCAAAGAACATGCCAACCATTTTCATGACATTATAAGGTTAATGCAACAAAAAAAATAATTATGCACCTTCTATGGCCCTCAATCAGTTTTGCCATGTTCCCTTTGTATGAGGGAACGAATATGTCACTTTCTATTGACACATAATAATCCAATGCTGCCATTTGGTTTGAATGGTTCCGTAAAGGATCAAGCTCTGAGGGTTCCAATAATGTCTCCTTCTTAACCTATTGAAGTAGTTAACATATATAAGCCAATGTTCATTTGTTTAAATTGCCAAAAATTGTTAATTGGAGTGTTGTCTTTAGTTACCAACCAGATTTGGGAAGGCTTCTTTGAGACTTGCCATTCTTTTCTCTGATTTGTATATTTCCCCAGCTGCAATATAAACTTGAATATTATGATCAATGTCCAATGCACGCAGTGTTAGAGCAGTTTCCTCAGGAGTCAGAGGGCATAGACCATCTTTTCTTTTCTTCTCAGAATCTATCTCTTTCTCTTTCCACCATGGATAAGCATATCTAAACACATTTCAAGGGCATACAATGATTTTGGTGTACTATACTTGCTTTACACCACTGCCTTTTCTTTTTTGTTTGATAAATAAATGGCATTTATTATAAAACATACAAGTTGAACCACCAATTTTTTCCACATGTGACAAGGGGTGGTAGGGAGAAAGTGAAATTAATTTCTCGATATGTTGAAACTAATTTGGGCATAAGTTAATTTATAAAAATTCTGTCATTAATTTCTCCAAAAATTTATTTTTAATTTATGCATAAGAAGTTTATTTTATTTTTTCTTCTTTTATATATAAGTTTTTACAGACATGTCTCAAGTTCAATAAGATTGTGGTGGATTTAGTATACCATAAATGGTTGATTGTGTGCAAGGGTACAAGTGGTGTGCAAATATCAAACACAGGAACTAGAATTGATTTTCCCACGTTGAAGAGTGGATGATGTTGTTTACCTCATTTTTGTTAACTCATCAATCTCTTCATTGTTGCATCCTTCATTGCAACCAGTGAAAGCTATCATGTCCATTTCATATCTAAGATGAAGTGACAAGAAAGGCCCTCTCTCATTGAGAATCTTCACAATCTTCTTAGCCAATTGCTCAATTGGAGAAACAAATCTCAAAGCATGGTAGTTCACTCGGCACCTAAGTTTCTGAACTTCCTCAGGAATCCCATTATTTGCAAGTCTTGCATCAGATTTAGTGAAGTGTACTAGCCCATATGTTTTCATCCGGGGAAGAATCTGTTTTCATAAGTATGAAAATTGAAGTCAATTTTTATATCATTTGACACGGTATGAACATTAATTAATATTGTACCTATATGCTAGAAAGTTACGTACCACATCATAATAATATGTCATATTAGACCAACTAATGGGTGGCATGGAATAGAGGGACTCTGTTTCCACCTTATGCTTTTGTTGGGGAGGAAGCTCTTTCAATATCCGAACCTCATCTCTCAAAGAATTGATGAAATAATCCACATCAAATATATCTTGGAATTGGCTGCCATATACAGTTTTTAATGGGTCATTTAATTTTGTTTTCTTCTTCTATGATACCAAATCATCCACTAGAGTCAGTCTAGTAGTAAAAGTTAAAGTTATCTGTACAAGACCCTATGTTTAAACTTGTTTGTTAACATTGTAATTCTTATTCTTATGAATTAAAAATACATTATCAAATTATGACTTTTTGAAGAACTTAGCCTAACTGACCATCTCATTAGACCAAGTCATGTTGAACACCTCTATAACTAGCTGACTAGCTTGTTCAACAAGTCGTTCCTAATGTGCCCATACTTAAAAATTTTGGTAAAGAAAAATAGTTAAAGGGAGAACAAACTTGTTCAACTCACCTTCGATCATTCCAAAAAGAGGTATTATCCAGCTCAGGAACTATTAGTGTAACATTTAAATATCTTGCAATGCTAACCATATCACATATCTGCCACGCACCAACCAAATTGAGAAGTTAATAACTATAATTTGGAGTGCAACTAATCATGGAAAGTGAGAAATTGCACGCATCACTAATGCAAGGAAAGTATTGGATCAATGTCAAAAGCTTACTCCAGCTCGCATTTGATTCAATCCTCCATTGGAAGAAACCATTAGATACCCATTATTATTCTCGTAAATCCCTGCATGGAAACATAAAATTTCATGTTGCTATTCCATTTTGGTTGCTTTTTAAGGACAATTAGGAATTGGAATCCGTGGATCTTAGCCAGACATGTGAACCTTGATGTGTGCAAATTCATGTGATGTTGATGCGTATGATAGGGAAAGTGCACAATGATTGAGTGCTAGTTTTGTGCTTGCGTGCAATTACAAGACAATCTTTTAATGTGATTGATTTTCAGTTATGAGACATATTTGTTTAAGGAAATTTATGATTTTATTCCTGGACCATGATAGACAGATGAGGACAAATTCCTTTTTTGGTGGTTTATGCGTTATGGGTACAAGGATAACATAACAGAAAGTAAAATTAATATCTCTAATTTATAGTCTTTTACTATATATATATGAGATTCTTTTCGATTAAGAATAAAAAGATGAGTTACTTTGTTATGTGATATTATCTGTTCTGAGTTTTTAGCAAAGTTCAGAATCACGGAATGCATCATCTAATGTGTCCGCAACCAAATTAGGGAGCGATTGTGGATACTATGGGGACTACAAGGCAAAATTAACAGTCTTTCACTGCAACTTAAAACCTTATATCTTAATTAATAATATATATATATATATATATATATATATATATATATATATATATATATATGTAATCTAGTTACTTTAATAATAAATCTATCAAAACTTCTTATTTTATTCAATAACTCATCCTTTACATCAAACTTGAATGAATTGATTGTTTAATTAAAAGTTCTTAATATATTGATTAATTTTGTAAAGTTTAAAAAAAATTAAAAATTATTAATACCTCATTTCATTAATTTAAATTGACAAATAATCATACAAAAAATTTATATGTGGATTTTTATTAATGTAATCGAGTATCAAATAATTTTAAAAGTTTGTAAACTTAATCTATACATTTAGAACTTTTAATTCAATATTACACACACACACACATATATATATAGAGGAGGGTTATAATTACACCTTCAAGAGTAAGTCTACATAAATTTACTCTACTTAATAATTTATATTTTACATCAAATTTTAATGATTCAATAATTGAATTAAAAGTTCTTAATATATAGTTTACATTTTTTTTTTAATTTAAAAATTATTTGATACTCTATTTCATTAATTCAAATCAACATATAAAATACTTTTACGATTATTCATCAATTTGAATAATGAAATAAAGAATCACACATTTTTTTGACATTAAGTGTAAGTCTAAAAACTTACATCAAATCTTATATTTTCAATAATTTTTTGTATAATGCAAATTTAACTTATCAAACTATTAAATATATGATATTATATAGAAGTTCATGTATATCAAATTTCATATGATTTAAACTATTCTAGATGTTATCTAGAAATACATATCTACACATATTTTAAATATCATATTATATGTTAAAATAAAATAATTCAATAAATTATTAAATAATTTTGTAATCATGTAAAACTTGATATACATAATTTAACAGTAAGATTAACTAAATTTGTATTATACGATAAATTATTAAAAATGTAAGATTTAATATAAATTTTTAAACTTATCCATGACGTGAACACACACTTTCTATTTAATCTCACTTCTTCCACCCAATCCTACCCAAAATAAAGTTGGTCTTTATATAGTTAGACTTAAATAAGATTTTAATCCTTATAATATATTATTTTTTGGTCCAGTTCTCTAATGTGATATCCAGTCCCTTCACTTTATTGTTTTAAGTTTTATAAAATTGTAAATATTTACTTAATTTTTTCTTAAATCAAAAGATCTTTTTTAGTCTCGATTACTTGAGCAATATTAGACCTGTTTTCTAATCTCTGATATTCACTCTATCACCTAACAAGAAATCTTGATGTCATGAACTAAAACAAAATAAGATAACAGGAACAAAAACAATAAATAAATAAATAAATAATCATGTATCACATAGACCAAGAGAATTATTTAGACTTTTATAACTTCTGTTTTTTTTTTCTTCTTAAAAAGCCATCCTTAATTTGTAGCAACCTTATTATAAGTCTTCTTAATTTCTCCAACCAATGCTCCTAAATATGTAACATTTCCAGAAAGATTAAGATACGTACTTTGAGGTGGTAGAGATGTCTTGATGAACATGGCATGTGTTACCTTGTCACCAAGGCCTTTGAATTGCACCACTATGGTCCAAAGCATCATCAAAAGCACTGCTCGAAGTGTCCAAAGCCTTAACTGGGATGATCTCTTACGATCAAACATGACAAATCTGAGTTTGTCACCCTTGATCTCATCATTCAACAATCCTTTGAATTTCTCATTCTTGACCCCTCCAATGAACAAACCCTTCAGAGTCTCAGCTTCCATTAGTTCTACATTTCTCATCTTACCATATGGCCTCCCCTTTCTACTCTCCTCTAGCTTTGAATCCTCAAAAACAACCTTGTTGTAGACCATTTTGATTATACAGATGTCACTAGTTTTTTTTTAGATTACAAGTATGCTCCACTAGAAACAATACAAACTTAACTAGCTAGTTACTACAACCTTGTTGTAGAGCATTTTGATTATACATATATAACTAGTTTTTATTTTTTATTATTTTTTTTATGAATCACATGTATCTTTTATCAGAAGACAATACAGATGTAACAAATGAGATACTCTTTTATGCATAATATGCAATGTGATCATAACCAAAAGTAAATAGAAAAGAAAGAAACTTCTCTTTTTGTATACTACAAGGTTAGGAATTGGATATGAAGCAGAAATAAAATGAAGAGAAACTTCTTGAGAGGGGGAAAGAAAAAAAGATAAAAAGAGATATAAAAGCAGAAGAGTTATGTTGGTGTTGAACAATAGGAATCCCCAAGATGAAAAGGGTCAGAGGTATTGATTTCTTAGGATGAAAAGTTGGAGAAGGCAAGGCATAGGATTAAGGCTATTTAAAGCAGAGATTTGGAAAGCAATATTGGGTACACATGGTAAATTATGTTGGTAACTTCAATTTTTCTTTCATTGTCTATGTTGTTGTGAAATGTATATAGTGGAAAAAATATTCGACCCCTCTCTAGTAAGTAAAAAAATAATAGTGTAATCTTTCTTGATTTGAATCATATTAATTACCTTACAAATTTAACCAATATCAAATTAAGGAAGTATTCCCACTTTCCTGTAATTTACACTTCTTTTTCTTTTTACAACAGAGGATCGAAATTTAAATAAAAAAAAAAGAACAAAAAGACTGTATAACATTATTACCTTTTTTTCTATATATAGAATACAACATTCTTACCTAGTTTAATTGTCTTTGGTCATGTCATTATTATCATAATTACAAAAAAGTTATTATAAATCATCATATAAGATGAGTGAACTTTTTATACAATAATATGAGAGAAACTGAAGTAGGATGCTTCTGATTGCAGAATAATATTTTTGCGTTCATGTACAAGGGGATATAAGCTACAATAACTACCCTAGGCTTTAGTTATTTATGGAGGATTTTAAGGAGAGTGTATGCTTAAATATATGTTTTATTATAAGACAAAATCAAATTGAATCGTATTGAATAAAAACTAAAAACTAAACAAAAAAAAAGTCAAATCGAAAAAAGATTAAATGAAGATAATGTTGGGGAAAAAAATGAAGTTAAAATATTTGTACTGAGTCAAGTCTTCAATTTTTGTTAAACTAAATTAATTCTGACTAAGATCGACTCAAATGGGTAATTTGAGAAAGCTTAAAAATTCTTTTAAGATTAAAGGAAAATGGTTTTTGATGAAAAACTTACCGTAAGGATTGAGAATCGATTACTTTGTCCTATAATTAATTCAATTTAAAATAATCTTATATATATATATATATATATTTATAATTATGTTAGTCAAAATTCTCTATATAATTGTTAGATTTTTATCCATTTTTTTAATATAGAATCAAAACATATCATAATCTATTAACTATCTATTTTAGTGAATATTTTTAGATTTATCTGACAACTTACTATTAAATTATTATTGAATTAAACGTAAATATTTAATCTAACAAATTTTATGTTTGAGATGTTTGGTCTTCAGATTTTAAAAGAAAAATATTATATATATATATATATATTATATTTTTTTGGTTAAGTAAGGCAAAAGATACAGCTAACTTATCAAATAAGTAAACGAATCTGTATAGAAAGAGGAAAATTTTGGTAAATATGGAGCTCTTTATTTGGTAAATATGAACCTCTTCTCGCTAAAGACTACCTCGTTTGGCTAAATCTGAATCCAAGACCGAATAATTTGGTAAATATGCCTAAAAACAGAATATTCCAATGCCCCACAGTTTGAGAGACAAAACTTAATAATTTTTTTATAATAATATAATTGACTAATAAATTTGAATCATAATATTAACTTCCCTAAAAGTTATATATGCTTAAAAAAAACTATATATATTAAATTCATTACATTATAATAGAATTAGAATCAAAATATGTATATATCAAACTATATATTTGTGATAATTTCAAGCGTGTGATTTAGTAGTAGGGTTTAATCCACGCTTAAGCAAGGTCAAGGGTTTGAATCCTGCCTTGTATATGTAGTCGTGTTAAATTTTGAGACCAGCTATTACATCCTTTAAAGTGCCTCCAACGTAAAACAAAAAAAAATTATATATTCATAATAATTAATTCTTATATATTAAACGCAAATTTAAAATACTTTTTAGATATTTTTCTTTAGTGAGAGAGTTTGTAAAAAACATTTAATTTCTTATCTAATTCAATTTTTATTTATTAAAATTATTATTAAATTAAATATTAATATTTTAAAATAAATTATCAATAAATAAAAACCATAAATTTAAAATATAATTTATATATTTAAAAATATTTATGGATATTAATTTTAAATAAAATTTATATATTTAAATATAATATTTATTTATATATATATATATAATTTATTATAAATTTTAATTATATATAATAAATATGTTTATACATTGCATAAGCTAAAATACTAGTTATTTTAAAAGCTTAAATATATGTTTTTAATTTTCTAAACTTATGATAAATTTAGTTTTAGTACTTCAAATTTAAAACTATTGATTTTAATTCCTATAATTTTAAAAATCTTGTTTTAGTCTCTCATATTACCAATCACATATCTAAAAGTGACAGATTGAGAGTTATGCAATATCAACTGAAATTGAATGTTGAAAACACAAAAAAAAAAAAAAAAAAAAAAAAAAAAAAAAAAGCAATAACAACAACACAGTTACTTATTACAAATTTGAAAGAGAAAAAAAAGGCTATAAATTCATTACATCAAATTTAAAAATAATAATACAATTATTAAGAGTTAAAATAAGAAATACTAACCATAAATATTAATATTCTCTTTGTTACCAAATACATAATAGAAGATCAAAAAGTGCTAATTTCTGGGTAACTCTAGCAGTACATGCACTTTCAGCTTTCACTCGAGAGCTTCAATTTCTGGCTTCAAAATGAACCAGCTTCGATACAGAAGTAATGAACTACATAGTCAGTTAGTTCCATTCCACAAGACCAAAAGCGGGCACAGGGAGGAAGATTCTGCAGAATGCATAATAAAGGAATCTGCTTTTGGAGAGCAAATTTAAAATTTCAAATCATATTTTCATTTCCCCGTTGTTAAATTTCCCAAAGTCATCAGATGATAAGCTGCTCACATCTTGCAAGTCTTATTATTACTATCTCCAAACCAAAATTTTCCAACTTGGCATTGCCTTTCTTCCGTATAATGTGCAGCAAATCCAACTATATAACAAGGAGAAGCCACGGACATTATAACAAGAATCAATAAACAATGATGAAATTTAAAACGTGGAAATATTTACTTTGAAAGAACGATAGAGCTCAGTGATATACCTACATAGATAATAGATGCTCAAATTTATCTGCATCTCTGGAGCCCAGGTAGGAAAATAGAAAATTTTCCTTGACCCAAATGAAAGTCTTGCACTGGTATAATGAAAACATTCCAACTGCTGACCTAATAAATTTATTCATTCATTTAAAATTCCAAAAGCTTTCATGAGGAAAGCATACTCATAAGCTGTTTCGTCACATTGAGCATAGCGACCGCCTTCGCCAAAATGCCCTCCTATCATACTTGTTTTCATGATGATAGCATGACAACAATGAGGGCAGGTACTATCTCGTACTTTAGCAACCCACTTAGCACCTTCCCAAACTCCAACCCTAAGAACCAAAGTCAAATGTTTACATAAATATTATTTAAGTGATTAGATGTTGCTAAATGCATAATTAGGATGTCAAATATATATATATATATATATATATATATA